CATGTCTATGTGAGGTATCAGTTAATCGGACAATTCTCAACACTGAATTAATATACTTTTTCCAGCAATTTAAGGGCTTTCTGTATGTTGTCTAATGTTGGTGGGGCATGTTAACCTGTTTTAATGACAGTCCTGAATCACTATGATCAATAAAATAGTTTTTCTTGAGTGTACTCTTAACAGAGCTGAGATTTACTTAAAAGTGCATTCACCCTTTTGGTTCAAGACCCAATAGGGTAGTCACCCTACTCTCACATTGTTAGCAATATATAGTAATGTCATTATTTGGCAACAGTTACAACTTTAAAAACAACAGCAAATCAGCTCCAAGTGATTTTAATTTGAGAAATCTGTTCCAAAGTATTGTGTTTTGCTCTAACTCGCGTAGGGGTATTTCAAAACAAAAGGCCTTTTTTAGGATTGCCAACTAGCCTATTTTATGTGGTGGTGACCGTGGCAAGAGCTGGCCGTGGGTGGTGACCGTGGCAAGAGCTGGCCGTGGGTGGTGACCGTGGCAAGAGCTGGCCGTGGGTGGTGACCGTGGCAAGAGCTGGCCGTGGGTGGTGACCGTGGCAAGAGCTGGCCGTGGGTGGTGACCGTGGCAAGAGCTGGCCGTGGGTGGTGACCGTGGCAAGAGCTGGCCGTGGGTGGTGACCGTGGCAAGAGCTGGCCGTGGGTGGTGACCGTGGCAAGAGCTGGCCGTGGGTGGTGACCGTGGCAAGAGCTGGCCGTGGGTGGTGACCGTGGCAAGAGCTGGCCGTGGGTGGTGACCGTGGCAAGAGCTGGCCGTGGGTGCAGTAACGTAATTAAACCACCGGATGACAGGCAAGCGTTAATTACCAAGAGCACTCGGATATGAAATATTGTGTTTGACAGGGCTTTTCTCAAATCAAAATGAAATCCAATTTTATTTGTCATTCGTAAACAACGGGTGTAGACTAACAGTGAAATGCTTACTTACGGGCCCTTCCCAACAATGCAGAGAGAAAAAATGAGAAATAATATTATTATAATAACACTAGGAATGAGTAACAATGAGTAACGATAACTTGGCTATATACACGCGGTACCAATACCGAGTCGATGTGCAGGGGTATGAGGTAATTGAGGTAGATATGTACATATAGGTAGGGATAAAGTGACGGCAACAGGAAAGATAATTAGCAGTAGCATATGTGATGAGTCAAAAGAGTTAATGCAAAAAGGGTCCGTGCAGATAGTCCAGGTAGCTATTGGTTAACTATTTAACTATTTAGTAGTGTTATGGCTTGGAGGTAGAAAGTGTTCAGGGTTCTGTTTGTTCCAGGCATGATGCATCGGTACCGCTCGACGTGTGGTAACAGAGAGAACAGTCTATTACTTAGGTGGCTGGAGTCTGGTACAGCTGTAGAACATTTTGAGGTTCTGAGGCCCCATGATAATTCCTTAGTGACGTGGACACTGAGGAGCTTGAAGCTCTCGACCCGCTGCACTACAGCCCCGTCAATGTGGATGGGGGCGTGCTCGGCCCTCTGTTTCCTGTATTCCATGATCAGATCCTTTGTCTTGCTGAAATTGAGGGTGAGGTTGTTGTTCTGGCATCACACTGCCAGGTCACTGACCTCCTCCCTATAGGTTCTCAAATAGGCTTACTTTGGTAAACTCGTGAAAATCCTGCGTAATGTTTCATTACACACTTACTGAGTTATTTATCATAGGATCTATTTATCACACTATTTATTAGCATAGGCAGCCGATAGTGGGCGCTAGATCTACACTATCGTCTTCGATTGATGTGCCAAGCCAGTAATACACTCATGTACCCCGTGGACCGGCTCGTACATAAAGCTTCCTCCATTCAGGCTGCAAAGGCATCATTTCCCTCCCTAACTAGTTTTAATGGCGGGCCGTTGGTATAAAAATAGAAAAAATATGTGTACCATCTTAATAAACCACATAAAACACCATGTTCAGCCAAGGGTGTGCAACATTCTAAGTTGTCCGAAAATCCGAAAATGGTGGTGGAAATGTGTGTTTTATTAAGATGGCCCGCCATTTAAACTAGTTAAGAAGGAAAAATATGCCTTTGCATTCTAAATGGAGGATGCTGTACGAGCCGTCCACTGGGGACATGAGTGTGTTACAGGCTGGGCACATCAATCATAGAGGATAGTGCAGATCTAGCGCCAACTATCGGCTACCCCTAACTATTTATTCGTGTGGGGCACATTTGTATTGGCTAACCTACTCTTTTTCATATCCTAGGCCTATTTATTATTTTCTAAACTCAAATAACATAACCAGCTGCTTCAAGTTGGCTGTTTGCACCAGTAGCATATACCATGGTTATTAGGCCAAGGCTATATGATGTACGTTTTTTTTTAAAGTTCCCGAACAGTCATTCTGAATCCCATGTAAAATACTATTTAGAGTGACTAAAATGTCACTCATAATATTTTTGGGGGATAGAAATGCACAACATCATTGAAAAAGTACTCTTTCATTGCTAACTACCAGGAAGTTTGAAAAGACTGTCTGAGTGGGGTGCTTAAATTCATGAGCTTGCCTTGACTGACAGTTCTTTGAAACGCCTACAGTACCTTCAGAAAGTATTCATACACCTTGACTTATTCCACATTTTGTTGTGTTACAGCCTGAATTCAAAATGGATTAAATAGATTTTTTTCTTACCCATCTACACACAATACCCCATAATGACAAAGTGAAAACATGTTTTTAGACATTTTAGCAAATGTATTGAAAATGAAATATCTTTACATAATAATTCACACATCACTTTGCAGTATCACCTTTGGCTGTGTTTACAGCTGTGAGTCTTTCTGGGTAAGTCTCTAATAGCGTTCCCCACCTGGATTGTGCAACTTTTGTCCATTATTCTTTTCAAAATTCTTCAAGATCTGTCAAATTGGTTGTTGATCATTGCTAGACAACCATTTTCAGGTCTTGCCATAGATTTTCAAGTAGATTTAAGTCAAAACTTTAACTTGGGCACTCAGGAACATTCACTGTCTTCTTGGTAAGCAACTCCAGTGTAGATTTGGCCTTGTGTTTTAGGTTATTGTCCTGCTGAAAGATGAATTCATTTCCTAGTGTCTTGTGGAAAGCAGACTGAAGCAGGTTTTCCTCTAGGATTTTGCCTGTGCTTAGCTCCATTCTGTTTCCTTTTTATCTTGAAAAACTCCCCAGTCCATAACGATTACAAGCATACCCATAACATGATGCAGTCACCACTATGCTTAAAAATATGAAGAGTGGTACTCAGTAATGTGTTGTATTGGATTTGCCCCAACCATAACACTTTGTAGTCTAGACAAAAAAGTTAATTGCTTTGCCACATTTTTTGCAGTATTACTTTAGTGCCTTGTTGCAAACAGGATACATGTTTTGGAATGTTTGTATTCTGTACAAGCTTCCTTCTTTTCACTCTGTCAATTAGGTTAGTATTGTGGAGTGACTACAATGTTGTTGATCCATCCTCAGTTTTCTCTTATCACAGCCATTAAACTCTGTTTAACTGTTTTAAAGGCACCATTGGCCTCATGGTGAAATCCCTGAGCGGTTTCCTTCCTCTCCGGCAACTGAGTTAGGAAGGACGCCTGTATCTTTGTAGTGACTGGGTTTATTGATACACCATCCAAAGTGTAATTAATAACTTCACCATGCTCAAAGGGATATTCAATGTCTGCTTTTTTTACCCATCTACCAATAGGTGCCCTACTTTGCGAGGCATTGGCAAACCTCCCTGGTCTTTGTAGTTGAATCTGTGTTTGACTGAGGGACCTTACAGATAATTGTATGTGTTGGGTACAGAGATGAGGTAGTCATAAAAAAAATATGCTTGCCATAAGAAAGATGTTGAATAATTTCGATAAACATAATTCCACTTTCAAATTATGGGGTATTGTGTGTAGGCCAGTGACAAAAATTACAAAAACATTCAATTTAAGCCATTTAAAATTCAGGCTGTAACACAATAAAATGAGGAAAAAGTCAAGGGTTGTGAATACTTTCTGAAGGCATTGTATCAAGAAATGTGGATGCAGTGAGCAGTGTTGCAGTAAAATCACCTCAAGCAAATTTGGTGATACACAAAGCAACTCAAACAACATTGAAATTGCATCAATTATGTATAATTTTTTTTTACAATGATGTCACCCTATTCCCTTAATAATCCCGCCTCCTGAATCCAAGTGTTTGGCATTTGGGAGGGGACCAGTAACTTTATGATCAAACTTTATCAATGTAGCAGCAACAGTCATTTTATCCTACTTTGGTCATCATACTTTGATCTGGTTTAATCAAAATATCATCTAATTTCATGAAAAACATGATTTTGACTGTTCATTACCTTCAACTTTCTTTCATGAGCATAATTGGTTTCAGTCTTTTGCCTTGCAATGCAATATTTCTACAACATTGGCGCATTTATACAGTTTTTCAGTGTAAATCGCTTCATAGATATGTGTCTGGCTGTATGCTATGGTGTCTGTAGACACTGCGTCGAGATTAGAGGAAAACACCATTTCTGAGGGGTATCCTCTCGGCTGTAGTGCTCTTTAATGGTGTGCGGATTTTCCCAGGTGTTTCATATAGCAGTCAGATGTAAAAAACCAGTGATGCTGTAATACCGCCTTAATTCATGAGGGTAGCCTCTCGTAGCGTATTTCTCCGGCGCGCGGTCCCCACTTTTGGTATGTCCCCCCTCTGCCCTCAGCAGCACGTAAGAGCTCTACCGCTGAGGAAACTGCATTGAGCCAGCCTCGTTTAGCACTGGAATGTTTTCTTGCTTTGTCAGCTGTGTCCTTGCAGCCTATCATACAATATAGCTACCTCCGAATTGATCAGAACCTCGGACTTTAACCTAGAACAGCAATTTATTAGACCGCCAGGGTTCCTTATCACTCCTTTTCCCTTCCCCTGCTACACCTAGGACCAGCCTATTGCGGACCTTGAACAAGGGCACATCACGTTCACTTTTCATTTTTTGCTAACCAGTAAAGATGACATTAAAATCCAATAAAAACGAACCCGCTGTCATACTTGAGCGGGTCAACAGCGCTCGAACAGCCCTCTCCGACCTGTACCTGGAGCAGCTGCTCCAAAATAAACCAAAGGCGGAAAAGGTAAGAGGTTTACACTACAATACATTCATACGATTGCCATAATAGTATAATTATAGAAAATATGTCTTAATCAGATAAGCAGTAGGCCTATACGCCTGGAAGGCTGTAGCCTACTTACATTCCTTGGTGATGTTGTAAAACAATACAGATTGTCCATCAACTTCATTGCATCAGTTCAGGACGCAGGGCTGATACAACCCGGTTTAAGATTATCATCTTGGTGTTCATGTGCTTTTTGTATTTTTCATATACATTATTAAATGTACGTTTTTCCTATTAGTAAATATTTTAATATGACGTCCACACAGGCCTATGTTATATATCAAGGGGGGGGGGGTGGGGGATACTATGATTTTAATTTTTTTACATTTTAAAACACATTTCCTGCAATTCTACACAGTTTGATATGATTTATTATGCCTCTCTTGAGGGGTAAATTGTGGGGTATATGGAGGGTATAAGTGGAAGGGAAAACATATTTTTCTATAGGAAGACAGCTAACTTCCTGCATTTCAACACATTTTGCCATGGGGCAGAGAGAAAAATGTGCTGTTTTAAGCTAATCTCATGCTAGTCTTCACATTTTGCCATGAGGATGAGAGAACATTTAGCAGTTTGTATCTCAAGCAGACCATTTAAGAAATGCTTGTTCTTTCCTCATAGAGGATGATGTCATCCTCCTGAGGAGCTTGAGCTGGCCAATCAGCGGTCTACTCGCATGAATATTTTTAATGACCGGTATAAGCCCACACCATTCTGTTGTTGGAGTACGCCCACACCATTCCATAACAGAAAAGCTGCTTTTTAACATACTTAATTACCATTTTTTGGAAGGAAAACTTTTTCACTCATATTGTAATTAATTATAGCCATATTTCGTAGAAATCTGGAAACACTGGACAATTACTTTAAAGGTCGACTTTGGGCAGAAATGCACGAGTAATGGCTTTAAACTATATAACTGACCAATGCACCATCATACCAGGTCATTTAATGAAAAAACAAAACAAGATGAATAAGATATTTGGCTACAGAAGTGCCATTTCTTACCGATCTCTACAGCTTCAATCCAAAAACAAATACTGTGAAATTACGTCAACACATACTGGAGCAGTTACTGGCTAGCTACAAGTGGCTAGCTTAGCTAACAAACTCTTGTTCTGGGGGGGGGGGGGGGGGCATGTGGTAATTTCACCTATGTCATGCACATGTGTAGAGTTTCAGTCTAGGTCTCTCCCAAGACATTACTGCATCATGAAAAGTTCAGTGCTTGTCAAATCCCGTCTTAATTTGTTCCAGACAAGTCATAATAAGCAAGATTCAGTTCTGCTATTTCTCTAACAAGGAACAGAAACCACATACCAGGCACATAGAGGAATCAGGTTAACTGTTTCACAGCAATAGGGAAAATACATGTGATGTCCACATAATGGATAGTTGTATTCTTTAGAAGAGGGGACTGACATTGGTACTCATAGCCAGTATAGGCCTACTACTGTTTTTAACACTACTTTCAACTTGTTTAGATATGTACATATGTTGACCATGTACAGCATCTCAATTCTACAATGTGTTACGCTCCTATAATAAGCTTCAATTACATCAAGGGATGTTTTCCAAACTGAGACACCTGCGCTGGATCTTTTAATATGGATTTTCATCTGTCTTCTTAATTATTTGTGAAATAATTAGACTTGTCTAGTAAGGGTCTTACAGCAGTAGTATGATCCCATTCCAACCACACAATTCATGGACCTTTGACCCCAAAGGTGAGGACTTAATGTTATCAGCCTCTTGATGAGGCACTACTGTAGTAGATTAGCCTAGGCCGGGCAGATCGTTAATCCCCTCAGTCCCCTAGATCAGGTTGACATTCTCAGGTCCTTGTCTTTGTTTGCTTGCATGGGGAAATGCAGAGCCAGGTGTACCTAATAGACACAGGCAGGAGGTTAAGAACAAGCCCCTATTCTCCTTTGTCTGTCTCAAGGGGGGATTTCTTGGCATGTGATGATTGGACAATAGGCCCGGCCAGGGTCAGAGGATTAGGGCTAGGGTGCACAGTAAGGCCCCTACTGCCTGGTCAGGGTCAGAGGATTAGGGTTAGGGTGCACAGTAGGGCCCCTACTGCCTGGTCAGAGGATTAGGGTTAGGGTGCACAGTAGGGCCCCTACTGCCTGGTCAGGGTCAGAGGATTAGGGGTAGGGTGCCTTAGTAGGGCCCCTACTGCCATGTCATGGTCAGAGGATTAGGGTTAGGTTGCATAGTAGAGCTGGACTATAGGGACAAAAATCAAAATCGCGATAAATTGACTGAATTGATGCGATACCGATCAATATAAGGATACGTTTATTACATTAATGTGCACCCCAGTTTTTTTTTTTTTAAGTATCCTTTAAACTGCTACTACTAGTTTGATGGTTGTAGCCATCAACTGTCCTATTAACAATCACCCATATTCGCAAACTAATTTCATTTCGAATTTCACATTTCTCGAGTAGAGGCTACTTATCATAATGAACGATATCAGCAAAATGCCTGCGATAAGTGATCGGTATGGTCGGTGTCGATCATTTTCAGTTGATCGTCCCAGCTCTAGTGCCCAGTAGGGCCCCCTTTTTTAATTATTATTATTTCACCTTGATGGGATTTACTTGAGGGTTCTATTGACGTTTATTGGCCGCGTGTACAGTTTAGCAGGTGTTTTAGCGGGTGCAGCGAAATGCTTATGTTACTAGCTCCTAACAATGCAGTAACATGTCAAACAATGAAAATGTAAGGGACAGAAAAAAAAAAAGAAATCAAGAACGGCGGGATGAATCTGATTAACAACCCAAATAGCACTGTAGGAGTAATAAAAAAAATTATATACGTATGTATACCAGGAGAATTGACACAAGATCAACTAATAATTATATGTACAGCAGTATATATATATTAGAGTAAGCAATTTCAAGAATACAGTGTATAAATAAATATGCGGTGTGTATAAACAGTGTAACTAAAATACATTGTACAGTAGTAGAAATATTATGATGAGCTACGTCGGGGATACAGTATTTAAATACGCAGTGTGAAACGGGAAGTGACCCGTGGTTCAATGTCTGTATAGCATGGGTTCCAGTGATTCACTCTGCTTGATCAGTGAAGGAGGTGCTAATGAGTGAGGGAGCAAGTCAGGCAATCAAGTTCGAAAGAAGTCATGATACTTCCAACAAGGAAAACATGTCCCCTGATTGATACGTAAAACAAAGTATGTCTGAAAGTGACATTGAAGTAGCAACTTTGACATGGTTAAACGTTGAGTGCTGAGAAGGGAAGCCTTGCATGGAGACTTTCCCTGACATTATGTGTAATAACCTTGTGCAGAGGCTCATGTTAAAGTCTACCTCATCGAGAAGCTGAAATGTGAAATCTGCATCTATTGTGAAATCTGGACCGTCGCCAAGTCAGGATCACATCTGCTTTGAGGAGGTAAACAAATATCTTATTTTAGGAATATCGTAGAGATGAGTGCTGGTGTCTCGTTGTTTGCGTGTGTGTGTGTGTCCAACATTGACTTTACTTTTCCATCTTTGTGATGCTTGCCTCGGACTGAAAAACGACTCTAGCCAGATCGATTAGAGTGCAGTATGTTTTGTATTTGCTTGTGTGTGAATAAGGCTTCCTGTGTGTGCTAGCCACCTGACGTGTGCAGACTCAGCCTGCTCCTGCCTGCCACACACTGAGTCATGTTTCACTGGAGACTAGCCTAATCATCCAGGCTAAAGAACTGCAGCTTTCTATAAATAGACACACAGCCATGTCTGCCTAATGCACAATGTCTCCCATCCTAAACCACTGTGTCATTGGTGTAGTTTAACCTTATCAGTCCCGAGACCCCAGCAGAAATCGTTTTTTCATTTATCTGCATGTCCAGCCCTTATATTTAATAATAATTTTGGAGGTGCTTATATTTGTCCTGTTACACACAAGTGTGTAATGGAAATGTTTTTTCCCCCCCATATCCCCGGGACCACCCATACGTAAAAATGTATGCATACATGGCTGTAAGTCGCTTTGGATAAAAGCGTCTGCTAAATGGCATATTATTATTTATTATTATATCCTAACTCCCCCTGAGGCACCCGCAGGGAGTGGGGTCATGGTCAGGTTCGCCATTGTACAGCGCCCATGGAGCAATTAGGATTAAGTGCCTTGCTCAAGGGCACAGCAACAGATTTTTCACCTTGTTGGCTCCGGTATTCAAATCAGCAACCTTTCAGTTACTAGCCCAATGCTCTAACCTCGAGGCTACATGCCAATTAAGTCATTTTCAGGACAACCAGGGTTGCAAGTAGAACACAAAACAATTTGGCATAAACAGTTGCATTCATGAGTTTTATTGACAAATGTAAATAAATAAAAAATAGGTTAGCCAAAGCAAAAACCTGATAAAAATGAATGTATATGAATGCTGTAAGTACATAAATTGTTTGCTCACTGGGAAATGAATATCCAACTAGTTGGTGACAACTGTTTGTGGAGTTTGTGACAGCAACTATGTGAGCTTATTGCAAAATTAGAGACACTATTTCCTGGGATTTCCTATGATCTTCTATAGAAGAACCCCTTACCTTCTAATGAATCTTGAGTAGCTTGTGAGCATCCTAGAGCAAAACATGTGCGTGTTCGTGAGACTCAGCTTTTCATAGTTAGCTTTTAATAGTTTGTAGCTCAAACCATTTGGGACTCTACAGACTTTTTGTACAAAGACCGGGACCCGGGATCCGTCCTTGTCTCACAAACACCGCTCTAGCTCAGCCCCCGTAATCACACTCACTAATGGTTGGTATGTACGGATACAGAAGAAATTGACAAATCCAATGGTACAACCCAGTTAGAAGTCCAAAACTTGCAGGCGTTACAGTGGGACTCATTGGGTTAAACAGGGACAGACTGACACTAGAACATTGCGGATGTGCTTGTGTTACATTCCATGCTCCCATCCCCTCATTGAACCAAAAAAACATGACCTCATGAACAATGTTGCTCTCTGATTTCATATCAAATTTAGCTGGTCTTGACATCCCTCAAATATTGCATTTGAATTATTAAGGTATTATAAGCATTACATTGGTTAAAGGCCCTGTGCAGTCAAAATTAAATGTTTCCTGTGTTTTGTATAATATTGTAGAACAGCTGATGAAACTAACACTGTAAAAGTGTGAAGACATTTTATCAGTGTTATTCCTGATAGTTGCTCGTTAAATATACAATTTACACAGGACCTTCTAATCAGCAGGTTTGCATGGGCGGGAGTTTCAGCATTCCATGGTGACATCACCATGTGGTAAATTGGTTAATAGACCAATGACAAAGAGAGTTCCAAACTCTCATGGCCCTGTTGTTTTTTACACCCCTCCCCCACTTAAATAACCAAGCTTCCGTCAGAGATGGAAGAGGAAGCGAGAAACCCCACTCACTGTTTTATTTTCTCAGTTTTTTTTCTGGTTCAATTAAAGTCAATGAACTAAGTAGACCAGACCCAGCTGCTATTGCATTTGTGTCTATGGGAGACACACCCAGTTAAGTAGACCGGAACTGACCATTTTCTTCTATGGTAAATGGCCTGAGTGACCTATGTTTACTTATCCCCATCATAGCTTCGGTCACTGGTGCATGACTACAACTCCCAGAGGCCTGCTGTTCACACAATGAGGTCAGGGGTCAGCACCAATGACTCACATGTACAAAAGACCCCAAGGATTCAAGACAGCTTGTTTTTCTTTGACTCTGAGATCACGTGACCCCCCCACCCCCCTCCCCTCTGACACTGCTCAGTGGAAGTAGGAAGCCACAGAAGAACAGAGTGTTTTGCTTCTGGGAGACTGGGAGTGCCAAGGAACTCCACAGTTGAATCTACCGTGGCACGTTGAAGCCTGTAGCTGTTTTTTCAGATAGCGTATCATACTATGTTGCATTCCTGACAACTGAGTTGACTAGTTCAGCATTATGAGATAAAGAGGGTTATTGACAAAACTTAGACTCCGACATTGAGAGGGATTATACAATGAGTAGCTGTAATCTTTTAATAATGCTATATTTAAACTGTGATACCTGTTGAGGAAGACTACACAATTTGTTTACTGTTAAACTGATAATACCTACAGGGGGTGCCTGCCTAATTTCACTGTAACAGCATAACGAATTCCATATTTCACATGACATAGTAACAGGACTCTTTCGGCATAAGGCACTGTTTGGCATTGTCGCCGGGATATGGTGCCAGTAATTTGTTATGTTAAAATAAAATAAGATACTTTAGCTCTAACTGGAATGATTTGATAGCTCACTTGGTAAACTAGTTTTCAAACTTTATTGGGTATTGAAAGGCTGTAAGCTCTCTTTTTATGTCTCACTTTAGACACACACCTCTTTGATTCTGGTTTGTAACTATGGAAATGGGATATTGTAAAAATAAACTTCAGAAGTTCCAAAAAAAGCTTAAGAAAAACTGGAGCTCATCAATTATACAAAGGTGACCTTAAAATGACAGCCCAGTCGACAGACAGTTCATCAAGGACGGGTGGTAAAAGTGGGTACCAAGTGTGCCCTGGTCATCATTAACACAACAATTTAAGGGTTAACGTTTTTGCAACTTTGTAAGTTCAGCTTATTCAATAAATGCCAGTGCTGTGTGTTCTTCAGCTGACCTCAGCTGTTTTCTGCTATTACATATATTAATTATCCAGATGATACCAGTTGACCTTTAGACCAGTCTGACGGTTTCCTTTGGACATGTGACTTCCCTCTCAGTCCAACCAGTGTCAGCACTTCGCAGGAGGATTTATTGAAGGCTGAGTGATCCCTCCCTGTCTCTTTATGACTCAGTTCTGTGTGCTGAACAATATGAGTAATGAACGTTCAAGGCTTCAGCCTGTTTGTACAGTGAGGGAAAAAAGTATTTGATCCCCTGTTGATTTTGTACGTTTGCCCACTGACAAAGAAATGATCAGTCTATAATTTTTTATGGTAGGTTTATTTGAACAGTGAGAGACAGAATAACAACAAAAAAATCCTGAAAAACGCATGTCAAAAATGTTATAAATTGATTTGCATTTTAATGAGGGAAATAAGTATTTGACCCCCTTCTCAATCAGTAAGATTTCTTGCTCCCAGGTGTCTTTTATACAGGTAACGAGCTGAGATTAGGAGCACACTCTTAAAGGGAGTGCTCCTAATCTCAGCTTGTTACCTGTATAAAAGACACCTGTCCACAGAAGCAATCAATCAATCAGATTCCAAACTCTCCACCATGGCCAAGACCAAAGAGCTCTCCAAGGATGTCAGGGACAAGATTGTAGACCTACACAAGGCTGGAATGGGCTACAAGACCATCGCCAAGCAGCTTGGTGAGAAGGTGACAACAGTTGGTGCGATTATTCGTAAATGGAAGAAACACAAAATAACTGTCAAGCTCCATGCAAGATCTCACCTCGTGGAGTTGCAATAATCATGAGAACGGTGAGGAATCTGCCCAGAACTACACGGGAGGATCTTGTCAATGATCTCAAGGCAGCTGGGACCATAGTCACCAAGAAAACAATTGGTAACACACTACGCCGTGAAGGACTGAAATCCTGCAGCGCCCGCAAGGTCCCCCTGCTCAAGAAAGCACATATACATGCCCGTCTGAAGTTTGCCAATTAATATCTTAATGATTCAGAGGAGAACTGGGTGAAAGTGTTGTGGTCAGATGAGACCAAAATGGAGCTCTTTGGCATCAACTCAACTCGGCATGTTTGGAGGAGGAGGAATGCTCCCTATGACCCCAAGAACACCATCCCCACCGTCAAACATGGAGGTGGAAACATTATGCTTTGGGGGTGTTTTTCTGCTAAGTGGACAGGACAACTTCACCACATCAAAGGGACGATGGACGGGGCCATGTACCGTCAAATCTTGGGTGAGAACCTACTTCCCTCAGCCAGGGCATTGAAAATGGGTCGTGGATGGGTATTCCAGCATGACAATGACCCAAAACACACGGCCAAGGCAACAAAGGAGTGGCTCAAGAAGAAGCACATTAAGGTCCTGGAGTGGCCTAGCCAGTCTCCAGACCTTAATCCCATAGAACATCTGTGGAGGGAACTGAAGGTTTGAGTTGCCAAATGTCAGCCTCAAAACCTTAATGACTTGGAGAAGATCTGCAAAGAGGAGTGGGACAAAATCCCTCCTGAGATGTGTGCAAACCTGGTGGCCAACTACAAGAAACGTCTGACCTCTGTGATTGCCAACAAGGGTTTTGCCACCAAGGACTAAGTCATGTTTTGCAGAGGGGTCAAATACTAATTTCCCTCATTAAAACGCAAATCAATTTATAACATTTTTGACATGCGTTTTTCTGGATTTATTTGTTATAGACTGATCATTTCTTTGTCAGTGGGCAAACGTACAAAATCAGCAGGGGATCAAATACTTTTTTCCCTCACTGTATGATGGTGAAACTGTTAAGCACCAGGTGTCTCCTACAGGTTTCTTTTTTTTAAAAAGGCCAGGACTGGTCCATCTTAGTGGACAAGCAGCATACTGCACTCTATGTGTTCTTTACTGCATTCTATGCCCCTGTGTGGGATGTCATTTCATCAGTGTTTACCGTGGGATCCAGTCTAAAGACTGCTCTACTACATTGATGTGTTATGACAGGGACTATTTCTACTCTCCTAGTACTGGTATCCTGTAAATATCTGTATTATGTTGCAAAGTAAACAACATGTTTACTTACATTGACCATAAGACACCTCTAGGCTTTCCTAGAACACTGCAGGATAGTCCATATGGTGTTAAAGTGTAGTGTGTGTGTGTGTGTGTGTGTGACCTTGTTCTGTTCCGTCTCAGACACACAGGAGGGGGAATCCTGCACTCTGCATGATTAGGTTTCCCCAGACTGGGCCTGCTACATATCCATTCTACCTCTAACCCATAGAAATGGGCAGGATATACCTACAGTTGTCGTAAAACTTCCACTCGATTTTTCTATAATATAATTTGCCATTGTTGCACATAGATCACACACTCTAACGATAATCCACTCAGTTACAAGGAACAAGGAGAGACTAAAACCTATAAGATAAAGGAAATAGCTTTGTGAAAATATGATGATGGAAGGACCAGCTCATTGCCATTGGAGTTGTTAATCATTTTTATGGCCTTGTTGTTTTCTCTCAAAGACATCACTGCCACCTCCTGTTACTTTAGCCAGTGGATCTGACTAGACTAGACAAGACTACTGGCATATTGATTTCCATTCATATAAAGAACTATGACAGATTACCCCCTTCTTATAGGCCTAATTACTTTTCTGTGAGCGGATAACTGTGAAAACAAAGCTGTCAGTGTCATTGCAAATTAATTTGTGTCAGCATGGTGTGGTCATACACATTGAACACATTCTTAACTTATCTAAAAATAAAAGTTGTTTCTGTTTGCGTGGTTGACAAAGTCACCTTGTGATTTCTCTGAACTAATGTTATCACTTTCCATGTCCCTATACAGCCTGAGATCGCTAACAGTAAAGGGACACTTGCAGTTATCTGTTAAAAGATAATAAAACGTATCTATGTTAGATAACAAACATTTGCCGCTGTAGCTGGCAGCATGTTCCATCAGGGAGTACAGGAGGCTTAATTCCATTATTGCACAATAAGGGTGGTTAGTAACCTTTGTCACCCTGGGGTCCATGTACAGAACAGTCAAGGGCTAGAATAGTATGATGGCCATCCACGTGAGTGGTTTTACTAATCCCTGGCAGGGCTAGCAATGTGATAATGCCCATGGGGCCGGGGGCAGTAAAAGTGATTTAGTTAATGTGATAAAAGCGTGTGTAATGGAGGGACATCCACACAGCAGAGCAGGCCAAATCCCACAGGAGGACCCACTTCTATTATCCGCTCTCTGTGTGGAATTAAGGAAAGGAAAGGCACCAGTGTCTCCAATCTGTTTAAAATAATCTCATGGTGTACATTTGGATCCATGATTTGAATTTGCTGCTTTGGTATTTCAAGTTCATAAAAAGGTCATTAACATAGTGTACTTTTGGTGTACTTAAGCATTTTGCATTTGTACTTGTATTCAATCAAACCTGGTTTGCACATTGCTGAAATGAAACGGATGGAGTGGAGGGATCACCATTAAAGGCCACATTCCTTTGAGTGACATTACACACAGTTCAGTGTTCTCACAGCCAGACAGTGGTCAAGTAGTCAGGGTTGTTATTTGTTGATGTAATGGATGTCTTAATCTTTACGAGGGATTTGTTTGTTCATATCAATACTTTTCTTCTAAACGCGATCTCACTCAGGCGTAGCCATGACAACCTTTTGTGTACCAGAGCAGCGTACATGGGTTGTCCCTGCCTAATGAGCTGGTGAAAATGTGGAGTTAATTTTCAACCCCAAACAGATGCTGAAACTGCAAATTAAATATGGCTGTTGGGACGCAGCCGAAAAAAGCTTTTAATAACGCCACTGGAAATACCAGTGTTCCAATAATCAGATGGTCAGGATGTTTAGCTCATTGTAACAATCTATTTATTTATTTTCACCCCAGTATCCTGTTGTACCTAGCCATGTCAATGAATCCATCTCCTGTGCCTATTGATGTTAAGTGTTGACATGTTTTTCCATAGGGGCTTATGCCAGCCTATGAGACAAAGGGAGCCGAAGTATACACCAACGGCAGTGCTGGTCACATGAACGGAACTGAGCTAACCAGGATGCGTGAGGTGGCGTTTGAAAAAAATCCCTCAGAGCCCATGGTAAACCTTTCAGATGCCAATTCCTCTCTTTTTCTGTCTCTCTCAGTCCCTTTCTGTCTTTCTCACTCCTTTCCTTTCCCCGTCCCTCCTCTCTATCTCTCAGTGACTCGCTCTGTCATTTTGAGGAAAGATTGTCGTGTGCTGTTTTCATGCCTCATGTTCTTTGCCTTTAGGGGGTGACTCTGAAATTGAATGGAAAACAGAAGTGCACTGTGGCCAGAATATTACATGGGGGCATGATACACAGACAAGGTACAAAACTCAACCACACCGACTAACATACTGAAGTGATTGTAATGCATTTGTATTAGAACAGCAACAGTATTCCCATACTTGTATGGCAAATAGACATTAGTTTATTATTATATATATATATTATATTATTTGCCTGATAACACTCTTTGGTCATACTGATCCTCAGTACTGTGTTGATCATTTGTTGTCCGTCTCCAGGTTCCCTAAATGAAGGGGATGAAATAGCAGAGATCAATGGAACGAGTGTGGCCAACCAATCTGTCGACCAGCTACAAAAGATCCTGGCAAGTCCCTACCATCTCTGTTTTAACAAAGAAAAGATACTGAAGAGCATTCTGCCCCTGAGAGAATGGGTGATATGTTGCAATCTCACAATCATAGTTTTGATAGTGTGGAGTGTAAGTAAAATGGTTGTCATCCTCCATTACAGAAAGATACCAACGGAGTAGTCACAATGAAAATCATCCCCAACCAACCAAGGTGCTCTCCTGTGTGTGAGGTAAGCCAATAAATGACCCATTGGATTTGCACATTTTCCCCTTTATGAATGGACTTGGCTATGATCACTATCTGGACTGATTTTGTATTTATTTTTTCGCACCCTGAAATCAAATTTCAACCGCATGCATGATCAAATGAATGGTTACTATTCAAGCGGGGTTACGCTCTTTGTTGTACTAGTTCTGCCATGATATCCCAAATGATTTAATCAGAAAAATACAGCAGGTAGATGATATTGTGTAATAGTACACCCTTCAGTTAACAAGGGGTTGACAGTCATTACAGAGGGCATCAGTCACTATATTTAGTCATCTAGTGGTGCCATTTTGACTCATAACCTACTCTAGTCACGTGCTATATCGTCATCTAAATACTGTTCCTATTATATTTTGACCATATCAGCAAATTGGTGGATTATTCACTACCACTATTGTAATAAGACAAATAAACAAGGTTCCACAGTTTTAATGTTATTTTTCTATGATACCGTGCTAGAAGCGTAACCACGTCTTTGATACGGTACCGTCCTGTACCTCCAATCATGTCTTCTCCCAAATCCTCTTTATTAAATTGAGTTTGTTCTTTGTCAGGCGAATCCTACCCTTAAGCCAATTAAAGACACAGGTGACTATACAACCATTAGATTCCACTACTATACAGATCATCACTCATGTTAGACTGGCGAACTGAACTGAAACACATTGGTAGTGCTCAGCGTTTCACTCTGACATCTGCTGGTCACATTATGCAATCAAATCTCCCCCAACGTGCGGCAGTTGATAGAGATTGTTCTGCCTCTCAATCTAGAATAATTCAACATTTAGAGATATGAGTTTCATTTTTAAATGTGAACTAATTGGAAAACAGTGTTATACAACGTAATGACAAACACTTCAACCAAAGTCATGTTTGTCAATACCAGAATAGTAGAAGCATGTCCATTGTCCAGGCATTATGATAACTGCACGAATTGTGTGGTCAGTGATGACAGTCTAATTTTTCTGCCAATTGATCGATTAGTAGCATATCCTAAACTATACGGTAATTATATACAAAACAATAACCTTTTAGAGACCAAATCCCTCCTGTGGATGCTGCTAGGTCCTCTGTGTGTTGCGTCAGAGAGCATATTACCACAGGAAGGATCTGTGACCCATTAACTGATAGATTACTAACTAACACTAACATCTAGGATGCTGTTTAGACAGGTAAATTTAATCTGAGCCACAGCACTATCTCCTGATTTAATTCAAAATAACATACGATTTCGCACCATATGCTGGAAACTGCAGTGCTACACGTCATTGCAACAACCATATCAACCACAATACACATATGGCGAACGTTATTGCCCAGTTCCCGGAAAGGGGATCATGTCCTCTCAGCCATCTCTGTGTGTGCAGCAGTTCTGTGTTACTTCCTCCACAGATGTACATGAGGGCTCAGGTTGACTACGACCCTGCCAAAGATGATCTCATCCCATGCAAAGAGGCAGGGCTGAAGTTCAAAACGGGCGACATCATTCAGATCATTAACAAGCAGGATCCAAACTGGTGGCAAGGCAGGGTAGACAACTCTACCGCCGACTTCGCTGGACTCATCCCATCCCCAGAACTTCAAGAATGGTAATAGTACACAAAGTAGAAGACCCACTTCTGATTACCTGTAAAAAACCTTTTGCCTCAAAGTTGCTTGAAGCACTGAGATTGACATGCATATTATTAATGTTAGCTCTCTGTGTACATCCTAGGGCCAGCCGTGCTGCCCTGTTCTGAGCCAATTGCAATTTTCCTAAGTCCCTCTTTGTGGCATGTAACTAAACGACTGAACAGTAGTCCAGGTGCGACAAAACTAGGGCCTGTAGGACCTGCCTTGTTGATAGTGCTGTTAAGAAGGGAGAGCAGTGCTTTATTATGGACAGACTTCTCCCCATTTTAGCTACTGTTGTATCAATATGTTTAAGCACTGAAATCCCTAGGATCAGCTGGCCTTTTCCTAATCCTAACAAAAACATTAAATGCTGAAAAACACACTTTACTGTAAACCAGGGATGGGCAACTTTGATGGGGCTGGGGCTGCAAAAATCTGAACTCATCATGAGGAGCCGCGGCTGCATATACACATCCATACCCACACATGCAGTCAGAGCCGGCCCTAGCCTTTTAGGGGCCCTAAGTGACATTTAGTTGCGGGGACCCCCCACCTTGCGGGCAAAATATTTTAGCGGACCCCCTCTTGACAGCTGAATTTTTGAGTTAATTCCCTGCAATTCTACACATTTTGCCATGGGGTGTAGATAAAATGTTGCCATATTAAAGCAAGTTTGCGGCAATTCTACACATTTTGCCATGGGGCAGAGAGAAAAATTAGCAGCTTTAAAGCTATTTTTCTGCAATTCTTCTAATTTTGCCATAGGGTGTAGAGAGATGTTTGCAGTTTTTTATATATCTGAGTGAAAGTGTCTAACAAAATCAATGCCCCCCCCCGCTCCCGGTCGGTAGTTTGACCATGATTACAACAACTTTAGATAGCTGGTAAGACTAACTTACCAATCTTAAAAATGTTAGCTGACATGGGCTAATTGAGTGACAGTCAGTGACTGACATAACAAGAGAAAAACTGCTGATGCACAACCAAATTTCAAAAATGCACCTTGTGTATTCTACTATTCTAACTCTCAACATTAAGTTGAGACCCGCTCTAAAATATAGGTTTTCAGTGTGTGAATAACCCCCAGTCTCTCCTCTCTGCTCCAGGCGTGTGGCAAGTAAAAGCAAGGCCACAGAGGGCACCCAATCCTGCAGCCCCTTTGGAAAGAAGAAAAAGTGCAAAGACAAGTATCTGGCCAAGCACAGCTCTAGTAAGACTTGCCATTTGTTTATACCCAATACAATCTTGAGAACTACCTATACTAACTAGATGTATAATGTATTTTACATTGCATGGCATTGTTTTAGATCCCTAAACCACCCATGTATATTCTCTTCTCCCTTGTTAGTCTTTGACCAATTGGACGTGATTTCCTATGAAGAGGTTGTTCGGCTCCCTGCCTTCAGCAGAAAAACCTTGGTGCTTATTGGTAAGCTCCCTATATGATCGTCATAAGCGAGACCTGCCTGCCTTAAACCTAATTTAAACCTGATATTTGAGATTGCGACGCTAAAAGTGAGTAGATGAACCTCTCTTTGCCTTCTATATGTGTAGGTGCACCGGGTGTAGGAAGGAGCCATATCAAAAGCTCGCTGCTGACCAAATACCCAGAGAGGTTTGCCTACCCTGCACCACGTAAGTAGGGCTTTTACTTCTAATGGTCTTCTATCTGGTTTGAGAGCAATTAGTTTTCCCAAACCCACCATTAACTGGGGCTCGATCCAAACAACAGACACCACCAGACCCCCACGTAAGGACGAGGAGAACGGGCAGGAGTACTACTTCATCTCCAACGACGCCATGACCAAGTGCATCACTGGGAATGAGCTGCTGGAGTATGGCAGCTTCCAGGGATTCATGTTTGGAACCAAAATAGAGACTATCCAGAAGATCCATGAGCAAGGCAAAATCGCCCTGCTGGATGTTGAACCACAGGTAGGCATAGAACTTGATAAAAAATTAACTATTTAAAAACACACACATTCAAGGTTAGCAGAACAAGATATTTGTTTCAGATGAATAACAAGATGATTACTTTTTCTTGTTATGCAGACATTGAAACTCTTGCGGATGGCAGACTTTGCGCCTCTCGTGGTGTTCATTGCACCCACCAACTCAGCTACCCAGGTACGCTACTGCTCATTCCTTATATCCAGGAATTAAGGTTATTTCAGTTGAGGACCATTCAAAGTATGGCTCTCTCCAACCATTTACACTACGATATCGTTTCCAGTCTGTAATGAGATGCTGAACCCCTCAGGAGTTTGACTTCGTAGTCTGATAACTTGTTGTACCTTCCCTTCTAGTCAGAAGCGGTGCAGTTGATCCAGAAGGAGTCGGATGCCATCCTCTCCAGCTACAGCCACTTCTTTGATGTGCAGCTAGTTAACAATGATGTTGATGAGAGTGTGAAAGGAGTGGAGGAAGCCATGGAGCAAGCCACCTCCACCCCACAATGGGTACCTGTTTCGTGGGTCTACTGACCTGTGTACCCCTGAAGAACCATTGTATGTTTAACATAAACTGGTGCAATATCACACCCCCACAAGACCTGGGCCGATATCCACAAAGCGTCTCAGAGTGAGTGTGCTGATCTAGGATAAGTTTAGCCTTTTAGATCATAATGCAAAAGATTATTGTCAGATCCTAGATCAGTACTCCTACTCCGAGGGGCTTTGTGAATACAGGCCCTTGCCACGCGTTACTTATACGCCATTCTTTGTGTAGCAGCTAATCACTATGGTTATTGTAATTTTCATTCAGTTTCACACAGGAGCATAAAAAAAAGAGCAATAGATGAAGATATTTTATTTCAGAGAAAGTATAATGAACCCAACCAAAGGGATAATTTACGTTTGTAAAACCTTAGTGAATCAGGCTTTTTAGGTGCAGAGTGATTGGTACCGTCCGGCTGCAGATAGGATTGTTGGTATGTTAACAATTAAAGTGGACCACTACTGTGAACGCAACGCCACTACCTGACAGGGTTTCATCAGTATCCTTAACTCGGGTTTAATTTTTAAAGTGTCATGAAATTTTGCATAGCTATATTATCAATATACGTGGTAATGTGTTAAAATACAGGGAAACGTGTCCTACATGAAATTGTCAAGTCTGTCATCTTAAGTGAATCATTTTGTTGACAACCTCAGTACTGGTCTCAACTCATCAGAAATGTATACCTCATGTTATGATGTAAGGCACTTTCAAACAATTAAACCCCCCCACTCCATATTGCTGATTGAGTTTCATACTCATTTGGTGTGAAAGGTAGGTCTGAATAAGAAAATCAATTATTCTCACTCCGTCCTTCAAGTCATTACACTGTAGACCAGGCCTTTTGGCTCAAGGGCCACATTGAGTTTTGGAAACCAAGTGAAGGGCCACATACTATATGCGTGACAAAACATGTGAAGCCTTTATTCATTTTCACATTGACACGCAACTACTAGTGTACTGTAGGTGTACATATGCTTGCAGAACAATTCTACCCTTGTACCATCTCTACCCTTGTTTTTTGTGAACAAAATTTTCACAAAATTGATATAATTTATAACATCACAGACACAGTCAAACACACACACAGATCCTGCATCTCTACCCTTGTAAAGTACAATCAAACTTAGTCACAATATGCAAACTTAAAAATATATATATATATATTATATGACTGGAGACATGCAAAATGTAACAGCAGATTTGTAAAAAAAAAAAAAAAAAAAATCTAAAATTTGAGTGAAACATATGGGAAGAGCATCAGTTTCATTTGGAATGGTCTGTTTCTGAAAGCATATTAATGAACAATTCTCATTTCCATTGTGAGACATATTTACAATTATCCAATCACCTCAGGCCAAATCTGACTGATTAGTTATAGTTATTACCTGTATCCAAGTGCATTGCTGGTCAATTCTCACTGCATAACCATCACCATGACAAAGCATAATCCTTGCCTACCCCAGTCAAGGTTATTAGTCTTAATGTGAACAATGGGTCTGGTCACCTCTCTTGGCAAGGGCATCAAAGTCTGGTGTCATCTTTGATGTAGAGATTCTCAGAACAGCTGACAAGTAGTCATTTGTTAAATTTGACCTGTGACGGTATTTGTTGTAATTCATGACAGAACGTTTGTTCACACACGTGGATCCGAATAAAACAAACATCCTTTGGGCGTGCTTTTTAATGTTTGTAAACTTTGTTTCATTCAGTGAGCCATAGAACTGGTCTATCGCTGCTGTTTTGTACTTCTCCTTCAAAGCACTGTCACATTGGATGTCGATGAGCTCCAATTGTGTGTCTGGTGGTGCTTTCTCACTGTCGAAAGACAGGGGGCATGATACAAGCTCCAGCTCAGTCTTGGTGAAGTCTGAGAAGCGGCGGGAAAACTCAGCATGCAGGTCGATCAAAGAGCTACTGTATGTCTCAGTGCGGCACTGCGATGTGAGTGCGGCCAGTGTCGGAAAATTAGCGAGAGACCGGCTGCTCATTTGCCCGGAGAACAACATAAGTTTGGCCTTGAATGTCTTCACGTTGGAATACAGTTCATGCACAAAAACACAATTTCCCTGCAGTTTCACATTTAGATCGTTCAGATGCGCCAATATGTCCACACCGAAAGCAAAGTCGCCCAGCCAGTCTGTCTTTCAACTCGGAGACGTCGTCAGCTTTACCAACAGTATCAAGGTACATACCTATCTCCCCTCAGTTCCCACACAAGGCGAAGTATTTTTCCCAGGCTTAGCCAGCGCACATTTGAATGGTACAACAAGTCCTGGTGCTCTGCCGGTGTCATTGTTAAGCCCCCTTTCCCGTATAAAGTTGACAAGTTTTACAAGCACTTTGACATTTTCCAGCTTTAACACACGTTTACACAGGGCTTCCTGATGAATACAGGGAAGAAATATCAATTCCTCCGAGTTAGGGCTTTTTTCTTTTACTTTGTCTTGAAATCTTTTTAGTAGGCCAATGTTTTTACCGGTTATTTTTGGTGATCCATCTGTTGTGACGTTTGTCAGTTTGCTCCACATTGTTTCCAAGCAGACAGACACCCTGTCATACAGTGAGGGAAAAAAGTATTTGATCCCCTGCTGATTTTGTACGTTTGCCCACTGACAAAGACATGATCAGTCTATAATTTTAATAGTATGTTTATTTAACAGTGAGACAGAATAACAACAAACAAATCCAGAAAAACGCATGTCAAAAATGTTATAAATTGATTTGCATTTTAATAAGGGAAATAAGTATTTGACCCCTCTGCAAAACATGACTTAGTACTTGGTGGCAATAACAGGTCAGACGTTTCTTGTAGTTGGCCACCAGGTTTGCACACATCTCAGGAGGGATTTTGTTCCACTCCTCTTTGCAGATCTTCTCCAAGTCATTAAGGTTTCGAGGCTGACGTTTGGCAACTCAAACCTTCAGCTCCCTCCACTGATTTTCTATGGGATTAAGGTCTGGAGACTGGTTAGGCCACTCCAGGACCTTAATGTGCTTCTTCTTGAGCCACTCCTTTGTTGCCTTGGCCGTGTGTTTTGGGTCATTGTCATGCTGGAATACCCATCCACTACCCATTTTCAATGCCCTGGCTGAGGGAAGGAGGTTCTCACCCAAGATTTGACGGTACATGGCCCCATCCATCGTCCCTTTGATGCAGTGAAGTTGTCCTGTCCCCTTAGCAGAAAAACACCCCCAAAGCATAATGTTTCCACCTCCATGTTTGACGGTAGGGATGGTGTTCTTGGGGTCATAGGCAGCATTCCTCCTCCTCCAAACACGGCAAGTTGAGTTGATGCCAAAGAGCTCAATTATGGTCTCATCTGACCACAACACTTTCACCCAGTTCTCCTCTGAATCATTCAGATGTTCATTGGCAAACTTCAGACGGGCCTGTATATGTGCTTTCTTGAGCAGGGGGACCTTGCGGGCGCTGCAGGATTTCAGTCCTTCACGGCGTAGTGTGTTACCAATTGTTTTCTTGGTTACTATGGTCCCAGCTGCCTTGAGATCATGGACAAGATCCTCCCGTGTAGTTCTGGGCTGATTCTTCACCGTTCTCATGATCATTGCAACTCCACGAGGTGAGATCTTGCATGGAGCCCCAGGCCGAGGGAGATTGACAGTTATTTTGTGTTTCTTCCATTTGCGAATAATCGCACCAACTGTTGTCACCTTCTCACCAAGCTGCTTGGCGATGGTCTTGTAGCCCATTCCAGCCTTATGTAGGTCTACAATCTTGTCCCTGACATCCTTGGAGAGCTCTTTGGTCTTGGTGGAGTTTGGAATCTGATTGATTGATTGCTTCTGTGGACAGGTGTCTTTTATACAGGTAACACACTGAGATTAGGAGCACTCCCTTTAAGAGTGTGCTCCTAATCTCAGTTTGTTACTTGTATAAAAGACACCTGGGAGCCAGAAATCTTTCTGATTGAGAGGGGGTCAAATACTTATTTCCCTCATTAAAATGCAAATCAATTTATAACATTTGACATGCATTTTTTTGTTATTGTCTCTCACTGTTCAAATAAACCTACCATTAAAATTATAGACTGATATTTTCTTTGTCAGTGGGCAAAAGTACAAAATCAGCAGGGGATCAAATACTTTTTTCCTTCACTGTATAAGTCAGAGCCCCTGGTTGTTCCCATCATTGATTCCATCGCAAGTTCCTCTTATTTCAAAGCTCTCATTTATTCCTCTGACAAAAAGTAGAGCAGCATTCAGAGTCCACTTCTCTTTTTCACGTCAAAAGTCATCAAGCAATGAAGTGGCGATGACTGGGCGCATTCTGAACCTGACTGTAGGCCCAAATACAGAGCGTGCTGCCAGGCTACAGCACCATCTATTGGAGGTTGTTTGTATATCATGGAATGAGTAATTTTAAGCCAAAAATCGTAACTCAAATATAATATTTAAATACATTTTTTAAAAATGTCCCGCTTGCTGTAGACAGCCTCAGATCCTAGCAACTAGGCAGAAAAAAGACACCAAGGCAGAGTTAGAAAAAAACATTCATTTCAAATTACAATTTATGCTTTCTGTATTTACAGTACAATATAAAAGAAAAACTCTGATCACATTTCACATAGAGGTACACCCAGAGAAAACTGATGTCAACACAGGGAGAGTACATAAAACATGTAAAAACTAAATGTCACTGTCATGAGTAGAAAAACAAGGTCATACCGTGGTGGTTGAGATGGCAACCATTAACCGCATGATCACAAGCCTAACCTAGTCCAAGCCCCTTATGATTATCCATGTGCGGCCATTCTGGACAAAGACTTGATTAACAAAAAAGGATTAAAACTCTGGGTTCTGCCTACTCAGCGCCCGTTGCATCTGTAAGGTAAATAGCGGCAGGCACTCGTTCTATGGTCCTTTCATTGTCCATGTTTTTCATAAGCTTATCACTCTGCTTCTGCCTCCGCTTCCTTCTTCTTCTTCTTCTTCTTCTTCTTCTTGGCACTCTCGCCCACCTGTGCATAAGGAGATTTGTTATTCCTTTGGCAAATGTTTAAAGCAATTCAAAGTCCTAAGTGAAAATGCCCTCTGCAGTTTAAAAGGCATGTTAGGTGTAGCTGTAGTGACTTTGCTAACAAAATAGGTGTAGAAGATGTAAGGAACCAACATGACCAAATGCTCATGCTTGAAAGACACCCACAATAATGTAGCAGACTGACTCCCTCTGCAGCCACAGGCAGGTTGGAAAGGGATAACTTTCTGCACGGGATAAATGCAAATTATATTGCACCAGTGATAGGCATGGCACTTCATTAACTGGCTGTATATTTACAGAGAAACTACTGCTGAAAACCATAACTTCAACATGTCCCTCCCTGTGACCAGAGCATATTCTAGAGCCACAAGGTCATACTGCTGTCCATTCAGAACAGAAGCAGAAACCCACCTCTCCGTCTGTCTCTGCTGCTGGCGCCGCCTCCTCTAGTTTCTGCTTCTTTTCCTTCTTCTTTTTCTTCTTCTCCTTCTTCTCTTCTGCCGACGGAGTGGAAGGTGCAGAGGGTGCTGCTGCATCACTGTCACTGTCTTCACGCTTCCTCTGAAAGACGGAGACATTGTTTAGTCCATCTCATTATGCACATAACTTCATATATGGAATTAACTACAGCTTCTTTGGCATGCGTGCCAAATACTGATCCAATTCAAATCAATCAATACCAGAGTATCAACTTATGTACACATACCTTTGCTTCACCATTGCCGTTTCCTTCAGCCTTGGGCTTGGACGCACTGAAAATGAGAAGGCCACATGTCAGCCTTTGTATCAGACTCATTCCTTAAGAACGATTAACAAATGCACCTACAGATCAACTGTTGACTGAAAAGGTTTGGGTTGCAAGTTACCCCACATGGGTGGGAAATAGTAGCTATGAATGTTCACACAGCTCAGCTGCCAGCCAGGCAGAATGCACTACCAGATCTCTGCTGAGCTACGAGAGTTGATGTTGCAGACTGACTCCCTCAGAGACCACGGGGCAGACCAGAAAGGGATAACTGTCTGCTGACTAGAATCATAAGATGCATGTAGGTTGCTATACCAAACTGCTCCATCTAGCCCCCTCCCAGACTGGTTTCACACCTGTAATCTACGTAGCCCTCCTTCCAGTCTGATGGAGTGCTGCCGTTGGCTTTGCCATGTTTGTCCAACAGGCCCTTCTGGATCATCATCTTTCTGGCTGGCCTGTTCATTAGAAATCATAGTTCGAATCTTCCTAATACAGCACTAAAAGCATAAACTGTTGTAGTCCAGTGTGCCTCACACACGCCAGGGATGCGAGATTCCCACGGGGGACCAGTATAAAAATGTATGCACTCACTACTGTAAGTCGCTATGGATAAGAATGACTAAAATGTAAATGGAGACTACCAATAGCTTGCACAAGAGGCGTTACCTTTGGGCCCAAGCCCCACTTGCGGGGGTAGGTGTCTCGTTCCATGATGACCCTCTTGATCTTGGCCACCACCCCGTGGTCACATGTGGAGATCACTGCAGTCGTCATGAGGGCAGTAGCTGGAAAATTGTAAGGGAACAAAGTTGAGATAAGAGCATAAACATTTATATGGAGAAAATCTAGTTTTTCAAAGCCATCAGTCAAGGGTGATAGATAATAGGTCATCTTTGCACAAAGTGCTAATGCAGTCTATGAGATCATCATGTGGCCTTTTGAAAAAGCAATTGCTTTGCAGAACAGCATATTTCTATTGCGCACCTATACAAATGGCCTCTCCTTTGGTTGTTATAACCACAATATCTTGGTTGATCTCGATGCCATCCTCATATCGTAGTACACCAGGCAGCATGATCTTTGCTCCATAGCAGATTGCATTCACCTGGGGAGAAAATAAATCAGAATTAATTCAAAGACTTGTTTAGTCCTCTACACAAGGGCACATTTGGAAAACAACACCCAGACTATCAATTTAGAGTCAGAAAACAAGAACTCACTGCACTGTCTTTCATGACCAGACGTTTGTGAGATATTAGAAGCTTCTCCAGTGGGTAGATGACTCTGCGAAGGTATGTCTCATCCTTGTTGTGGTCATACTGCCACTGAGCATCCAGCACATCGTGCATGGTCACCAAATTGTCCTGCAGAGAACATGTTCCAACATTGAATGAGTCCTAAATACATTACACATTAAACAGACCATAGGCCTAAGTATCAACATTCCCATAACATGTTGGCTAGAGTGGAATCAAGTGGCTGGCATGTCCACTTTCTATTCAGAGCCACTCTATGCCATTTCTGTGCCAAAGAATAATTACCAGGACTGGGGAGAGGCCCAGAACCGAACTCAACACTTTGGACCTCAAAGTAACCAGACAAAACACAGTCAAAGGATTATGAAAGAGGTAAGAGACTCACCCTCTCTCCCAGAACACCAGAGCGAACTCTCCTCAGCTCCTGCATCTGACCACCAACACCCAGGAGGAGCCCCAGGTGGACACACAGGGTTCTGATGTAGGTCCCAGCCTCGCAGCTCACCCAGAAAATACCTGCAACAAACAATACGGTTAGATTATCATCTCTAAAATAGCATCAACAACTTCCAGTTTATAAAGAGTATCGTAATTTCATGTATTCAAGTACTGACAAACATTTCTAACCGGAGCATGAGGAAATAAAGCATTCGATTCCTTACCCAATCTCCTCTCTGGGTCGTACTCAATGAGTTTGCTTTCATAAATGGTCCTAACTCTCAATTGGCGCTTAACGGCTGCGATGAGAGGTGGTCGCTGGAACAAAGCTCCTGTAAGGGTTTCAATACCCTAAAAAAAGAAGAGACAAGTGTTGGATTAACCATGACGTCCCACAACACCGGTATAACACCCATGTCCTTACTAATGTGTGATCAGGCGTGTCAACTCGTCTTTGTTATCGCAGGGCCCTCCAGTCCTGCCCCTGTCTCCACCACAAGCTGCCCCAGTAGAACACTGAAGTGGCAGAGTGGCGCCAGGGGCACAGCAGACACTCATGGCTAAAACAGACATGAGCACCACAGAGAAAGCAGGACCCTAGCAAGCACTCAGAGAATGGATAAACACAATCATCATCTCACATACATGTCAAGAGGCAGTAACTTAATATTACAAAAGCAGACACATTTATTGGCATACTTTTACAGTTAAATTACAAACTCTGAACCATGCTAAGAGTAAAAAACTGCATTAACAAGATAACTTACCCTAGCAAGCGTGTGCTCATTCTCAATAGCATTGTGCAGCCGAACAATTCCCACATACTCTTTGCCTGAAACAGACGGCAGAAGAGTAGTAAGGAGAGGCCAATCTTAATGTGTTTACATAACCATCAGGAGGTAAACATTCAGAGCAGGAAGGAGTTGGGTTTACAAGGTGACTCACCTGCACTCTGCTGGGACTTGACCAGTCGTGTGGCTCTGTCCACACACACAATGAGGCAGCCTGTCACCTTGGGGTCCAGGGTACCACTGTGGCCAGTCTTCTCCACTCGCAGGATACGTCTGATCCAGGCCACCACCTCGTGAGAGGAGGGATTGGCAGGCTTGTCCAAGTTGATGAAGCCTGTCCTGCACATCACATGGATTGAGTTAGAGGAGTGGAGCAAAATGAAATCACAGACAACACTTCAATATTTTAAAAGGCATCCGTGTAGAGCCATCAGACAAGGGTGATAGATAAGGAGTCATCTTTGCACATAGTGCTAGTGCAATCTATTTACATTCATCATGTGGCTTCATAAAAAATTCACGCGACTGAGCAAAAAGGACCAAAAGTTACCTGACATAGTCCTGAATGTTCCTCTTCAGAGGGTTTGAGCCATTTGGCAAGGGTGTGTAGTGAGCTGTCCTGATGTTGAGTTTGTCAAAATTCTGCATGACAAAATGAGTCAACAGGGGAGAAGTTAGAATTAAGAATTTCCCTTACAAATAACCAAATGTAATTGCATGGAAGGGATGTGCATGTGATCAGGAGTTTACGCTCGTCTTAGTTGTAGCCGGGCCCTTAACCATAGCACCAGCACACCTGCCCCCAACACAGTTTACCCCAGTAGAACACTGGGGCAAAAGCATAGAGTCAAGCCGCTGATCCCCCTGAGTCAAGAACAGACACAGGGGGCTGCAGGGCCAGGGCCCAGCAGCACTCAGCGAATGGATAAACAAGTTCATCATTTCAGATACAGCATCCTGCTTCTACAGATGGACAGGACAAGAGTAGCCAAACTCACTTTCAGCAGCAAAGGCCATTGAGATGTGTCCAGACTAGCAACTTTGGACTCCGGTTTGATGAGGAAATCTCCACTCTCCTGAATATCCTGTACCAAAAAATGAGGAATTTAGGGGAAATGTTCGTACCATTTGAATCTAACAGTGAAAAAAGCTTGTAAGGACTTACCCCAACGTCATCAACAGCAACTGTCTTTTCCTTCTTCTTCTTCTGCTTTTTAGCAGAGTTCACTTGAAAGGAAAAATAAAGGGATAATGTTACTAGCTAGCAACAAACATGTGTTCCATGACGTTTCCCTACTGGAGGATTGTCGAGAAGAAACCTGTAGGTACTGTAAGCACTTCGTTGGAAGATGTATACCATGCATATCCCGTACATACGACTAATAAAACTTTAAACTTAAATGGTGGTGGTCCATCGTAAATCGTTTAGTTTAATCAGCTAATTGAGAGATAGCTAATAGTTATTGCTCATCAGCATACCACATTCGATTTGGCAAAGCGCTCCCACGTGGCCGACACGACTGGCACGTGGTACTTTTGGTGGTGTAAGAAAATGAGCCTTTACGGGCAATTTTACCCAACTATGTACGGTGTCCGCAGTCACAGAAACGTGCATAACGACACATATACAACTCAGATATTGCAAGTAAGCTAGTTAACTGAAAATAGTTCATATTCATGAATTCGCAGTACCGTTTCACAGACAGCGTGACCACCATCGGAACGTGGCAACCATTCTGTGTCTGGATGAAACCCCTCTAGTTGAGTGTGATTATTAACAAAATGGCGTAACGTTAGCTAGCTAAGATAAAGTTCTGAGGCTGCCATTGGGCACTACTGTTACCCAAAAGTATGTACTTTGTTAGCTAGCGCTAAGTACATAGTTACAGTTAGACAACTACGTCGTTAGTTACGTGCTATCTAGTTATGTAACGTTACAGTAGCCATCTAACGTTACCTAGCTACGTAGTTAACTACGTAACCTAGGACTACTTAGTTGTTAAAGTTAGCTAGCCATCTTACCAACAAAATTCAGCACGATTGCAATACCATGATCTGGGAGTATACGCAAGTAACTATATATATCAATGAATATACTGCTATATGTGTAGCTAGTTGGATACCCACATGGTTTACGCTGGGTCATGCAAAGTTATTGGGAACGTGGCCGCTTGTTTGATCATGCCTCAATGTTGGGTGCAGTGTTGCTAGTAATATTTCACAATTTCCTAGTAAATAAACATACACAACAACAAACACCTAAAATGTCACAGCAGTTGTAGCTAGCTACTTTGAAATAAGATAGTTCTGTTAGACTGTGCAAGGACTACTTACTTTCTACATCCGCCATCTTCGGTCTGCTGCGCGACTGACCTGACGACAACACGTGTGTGCTCAATGAGATCCCGGATAGCACGAAGCGTGCTCAGTGTGCATGAATTTAAGAAAAAACACTACCTCCTCACTAAGCCACGCGATAGTTCATTTCAAGCTCAACCAAACGAGAAAAAGTAGTCCGAACAGAAGGTGTCGCTCGAGCAGAGTTTTAACAAAGATGGTTTAGTATGTGTAATTATATGCGCTCGAGAGACATAAAACAAATGTTCTGTTAACATGATACCTTTATATATACGGTCTATGCATGACACCCAGACCAAATACCTCAAATATGGGTCGCGTTCAGCAGGATTTAACGTTTTAGAACGTTCAACTTCAGATATATTTAGGCTATGTAGATCAAACATGCCTCTCTGACATGTAGACTAAGGAATCACATCGGCTCTATTCATGGCATTAATATCTGCAACATTCGAGAACATTTTGCCAACTTAACATGGCCCTGTACTTTCCTTTTCATGCTGGATATGGTTTCATCAAATATATTTATAACTAACTCCTTCTTCTGTCTGTGGTTTCATGTCAGTCTTTCTGGGCATGACAAAAAACACAGCCACCCAATAGAAATCAGGAAAAAAGGTGTTGAGAAATCACCCAATTTATTTCATTATGTAAACAAGGCAACATTTCCTAATACATTCATAAACAATTAAATGACTAGTAAACGTGCTATTTAGTACTTATGACATACTAGAAACGAATCCCTAAAACAAAGCCAAAAATATGTAGTTAAACACCTCAATATGTTAAGTTCCAGTTCAAAAGATGATTGTTGTTTTGACAAGAGCATAGTGCATACATAATGTATGTCTACAGATCTTCTATCCCAAACAGATCAGTCCATTTTCTGGACTTCAACAAATCTAATAATATTATCTTCTCATGTAAAATATTTCTGGGTAGAGAATATTTCTGAAGTACAGTACAATTATTTTATGCCCATATTAGGAATGGCATTTAGTTCTGCATGAACAATATCTAACTGCATTCATGCAGTGGAAATACATGATTTCACTCAGTAAATGCTCATAATACAAAAACGATTTGATTCTATAAGACTTTTCGGTATCCTTAAACATTTATTTATGACTGACTGGGTGATGGTGCTTTTCTGATGGTACCGGGCTGAAGTCCTGCTTTATCTCTAAAGGACTTTGGTGTTGGCTGGAAGGGTTGGAGACTCAGGGTGGCTCTTCTTCACTCAGGCCTGCAGACCCAAGGAGCGGGCAGTGTTCAGGACGTCGTCTCTGGTCAGGTAGCAGCCACACAGTTGCCGCAGGCCTGTGAAGGACTCCCGGCCATGCATGACACGCCAGTTATCGATGAAGAGAACCTTACAGAAAAAGAGGGAACATATTTTTTGTGTAAGATTTTGTAAGACTTCACCCGTCACCTGCAGTTCAATCCTGGTTTTCAGTTAAGTGGGGGATGTTTCCCCCCCCCCCCCCCTTTTATATCAATATCTAGCTCAACTGGTCATGTAGTGCTAAATCCTTTCGGGCTAGATCAATGAAAAGGCAACTATTTTTCCTTACCTTTCCAGGCTTCAGTTTGACCCACAACTCATTCTCCGGCTTCCTCAGCTCTGTGGTCAACTCTCTGTGAGCCACATACCATCGCTTGACAATGTCATGGGGGATAGTGTTTATGACTGCACGGTCATAGTTATTGTATCTGTAAGACAGGCAACCAAACAGAAGGTGATACCATATTAATACTCAATATCAGATCATATATTCATTACATTGATCTCAAAGGAGCTGGAATAACAAACGTTTTGCTGCATATGAGCACCAGATCCTGAGCCTTCCACTAAGAACCTTCCAAAGTGAGTTAATTTGTATCGATGGGTGTCAAATTTTTCAAATGCATACAACATTGTGAGTTAATAGGTAACCAAGACTGGTTAATGTAAGGTTGTATGGCCAATGACGTTGGAAGATATGTTTAAAGCAAGACATTCAGGGAGACATACACATCTCAAATTAGAACAGACTGGTCATACCGGATCATCTCAAATTACAACAGACTGGTCATACCGGATCATGTACACCTCATTGTTCCAGGGATACACGTTGAGCACAGGGCCAATGCCGATCATGTGGTTGTGGTGGTCGCTGACATTTTCAATGTACTCATGCTTGATAGGAACCCGTGCTAGCAGCTCAAAGTTTTCAGGCGTCTTCTGGAGCACTTTGTCTGCAGAATAGAATCCATCTACAAGTAGTGTTCTTCCTCCCGTTCCCTCATGTCTAAGGCAATGGAACACTTGGATCCTGCAAGTCACAGTCAATGGCATCAAAGTAAGTCACGTTATTATGAAATGCCCAGTAGATGGCGTATTGCCCTGTAATTTCATGGGAGGCCAAGGTAGAGCTTAGTTTCATGTTGTACTATATCTTATTTTATCAAGATTCAAGAAGTCTGTGGCATAGCAATGTGCATCTGGCTTGTGTCTTATCAGTTAAAGAGATTCTCCGGTACTTTTGTATACTTTTTAGCCAGTAGTTCAGAAAGTAGCGCTCACAAGCCAAAAGTGTTCCCCGAAAATTGCATACTATATCACATATATGCACCACGTCATTGCTCTCTCTCTCTCGCTCTGCTGTGTGTGCGTCTTGCTAGCTGTCACTCAAATGGCGAAAGGCTAAAGCTCATTGGCTAGAACTCAAATCGCCAGGAGCTGGCCCACGTGGGGGAAATTGTAGGGAAAATGGCGCTGCACAACCTCCAGAAAACGGTCGCTTCAAACTAGGGATTTTGTGGCTAATTGAGGTAAGACAGTAATTCTGCATGTATGAACTACACATTCAGTCCACAGCAGGAGGTTTAAAAAGTACTTACTAGTTGCCAAAGTTCCGGAGCATGTCTTTAAAAGGTCATAAGCAGGTGATTAAACAGTGTCCAACTGCAGCTTGCAAAAGGAATGGCCTGTTTCACAATGCTGGATCTGTTGTTACAACTGTTACAGTTTTTGTAACATCACTGTAATAGCCTAACACAATAACCTAAGATGTCTAAAGTGTGTCTTCATCTGAGGAATCTCAACCTAACCAAGATACAGATCAACAGGTGTGCTGCCTTGATACTTTGACCTGACATGATCACTCCAATACAGTTCAAATAATCCATGTGTGAACATCGATCTAAATACATACCCACATGGCTCCTGGAAGTATGAGGTGTCTGTATGACGGTCCAGTGCCAGTTTGGTGTAGGCAGTGTCTCCTCGGGAGAAATCGGATGTGAAGTTCCACATCTTGCCATACATAGTCTCCCTAGTAAGAAACAAGAATGAAAACACAAAGTAGAGTCAACTGTTTCAAAAGTGATACCTAAAACATTATATAGTACAAGAACAATTCAAAAAAGTTTATAATGGCAACTGTGATCCAAATAGTGAGTGATATTTTGTTTCTTTGGGGTGTCAGGAGGAGGGCAATTACTTCTGATTACCAAATATCCTCACTGGACTACAATACGAAAATGTCCTTATCTGGCAACCATGTGCAATGAATTTCTAATACACGCTGCTTCCTCCCTCCCTCCCTCCCTTCCCTCCTCTTCACCCCAAAGTAGAGTCCAGTACAAAGAGGGATTAGTGCGCTTGCTCAGGCGTTTGAAACTTCAAAACCACACCACCTGCAGAGTCATTAATGAACAGACCTGGTGGATTAATGAGAACAAAGTACCTCTCCTCTCTCAGTACACTGGCAGAGGAGACACAATGCCCATTCTTTTGACAAATCCACCCTCCATTCCAAGTGCCGAGTTTGACAAAAGTATCAAACTTGTTGTTAAAGAAACCAAAACCTTCTCTGTAGCACTGTTACTTTGCAATACAAAGAGTGTAAACAAGCCAACCCTGATAAATATCAAGCTTATTTAATGGCCCCCAAAAATAGATATCTGGGGTGTTTGTTCTCATTCCTTATTAAATAATCCCTACTCTAAAACCATGCATGTTTCGTATGCATTGTGGTGGGTGGTATGCCGTTACTTTTAAGCCCCCTCAACCCCCCTTCTCATTCCCTACCCCAGGCAATCACAGAGGGGCTTACTATACCTGATGAGGCTGACCCTCTGGGTAAGAGTCTCTGTGGCCTCAACAGTCGGCGGGACGCCCTCCACAAAAGCAATGCCATACAGCAGAAAGCTCCTAAGGAACTTTTTCAGTTCATCATCACAGCTCATAAACTTGTCCCAGTTGGCAGAGGGCACCTTGGCACTGGTATAGATGTCTGAGTTCCAGATGATGCGTGGCTGCATGGCACTCTGCTTCTGTCCCTCATAGCTGTTCTGAGCCAGCCAACTCAGGTTGTACCTTGTCACGTGACCATCAGGCCCTGGGGTAGACAAATCAAAGACAATTCCTTCTAATATACATTCAATAACTGTTAAAAAGAATGATGAGTAACAATAGGCGCATAGATCACAGTTCTGCCATAGAGAAAATGGGATTGCGGTTCTCCATTGAAAATTATCAAATGATAGGCTTAACTACTGGCATGGATTTAGAGTTCTTGACGACATCAAACTGACCTAGATACAGTACCTCACTGAAATGTTCAACCGATTGCACCCTGAGTAAGTGAACGGTTACAGTTTAACCAATGCCTTGTGAAAAGATGTACCATTGTACAAACATGTAATTCAAATAAAGCATATGGCAGCAATATCTGCAGTACATTACAAGCTTTTTCAAGAGTCAAAGATCTCCCCAAAAGATGCTTGTTTTTAAGAAGATATAACTATCTCAGGTTTGGCAGTGGAGAAGATAATTTTAGGCTAGGCTCCTCCATAATATGGGCTTCCAATAGAGTCCAAAGGAAAGAAACAAAATCAATTTTTCACTTTGGTTCCAAAGAAAACTGTGTTTCATGCCAAAACCAACTGTAGCTATTCATAAGGAGAAAAAATTAAAATCTACAACAAATCAAAACAAAGAAAGCCACCTACTGTATGTGATGTGCGACGAACTGGGTAGAGAATATTTTCTCTCCCTCTTAGTTGGGAAAATCAATCTTCAAACCAAGACTTACATGTGAGGAAGATATTCTCATCATCCACCCTGGTGTTGGTGGGACGTATGTTTAGCTCCACATTTGCTGTATCCAGGTTCCTCTGGTTGGTCTTGCTGTTGAAGCAGGAGGCAGAGCGGCAATGATCCCGTAGCCACACATAGGCAAAGTGCATCACAAGCCCTCCATAGCTGAGCTCTGCCGATTCAAATGTCAGATTTACAAGTACATATTAGTCTATCATGTGGAAACTGGCCTATTCAAGTGTGAAGTGCCAGGTCCAGACTAGGGTTTAATATGTAAAATATATATACACAAACACACAATAAATCAAATCAAATCAATTTGATACATTATGATGTCATCGCCTATAGGAGGGTATATTAAAAACAAGAAAAGGAACATTCCTTATTGAGACCTGCTGGGGCAAGAGTTTGGTCTTTCTTACCCACATAATAAAATTCAAAGGAACACTTAAGGAGATATACAACATATTTTGCTTTACAGGTTATTCTACCAAATCTTTATCCTCTCACCCGTGTGGGGATGGATAAGAGAGTTCCCGCTGATCATGGCATAACAGTGAATGCAGTTGTGACAAGGGAAATTGCCATTAGGAATGATAGACAAGAAATGCAATGCTTTTTTCTTAGGCCAATCATTCTGACCTTATCTTCATCATTGTAATGACATGAATAATATAGGACTAGAATAAGATGCAGATGGCTTTTTCTTCTCTTCACGAAGATTGAATGGTTATGGGTCTGTAAATAACTGCTATAGTCTATCGCCATCGCGCACTCTCTCCCCACTGGGCAAAAACTGGTTGAATCAACATTGTTTCCATGTAATTTCAATCAAAAAAATCTATGGGATGACATTGAATCAACATGGAAAACTGATTGGATTTGCAAAAAGTAATCAACGTAACAGCATAATTTTTTTTTTTACCCAACTTTTAACCAGAATCCAATGTCATGGTGACATTTTTTGTTGATTTCACGTTAGTTGACTACTCAACCAAATGTAAATCAAAACTAGACGTTGAACTGACGTCTGTGCCCAGTGGGTCTCTTCTTTCAAACTCTGTGAGTTCCTTTGGCTGCTGTATTTAACATTCAGCAAACAAGAGCAAGCTTGCATCCGTCTTCGAATGGTCTATTACAGGGTTCCCCAACTGGCGCGGACCAAGTGGTTTTATTTGGCCTCCAAGTTCTGAGATTTTTTTTTTTTATATATAAAAAACATTTGGGACATAAAAGACTGTAAAAACACATGGAAATCAGCTATAGGTTATTTTAATTTTGGAAATCTGTTCCCAAGTATTCCCACGCATAATAGAGAGACGTGATCGTATACAAATGTAAGCAAGGTTTGAGAAATGATTATGTTTTAGTAAAATATTATATCTGTTTGGCCTTCTTGCGGTCAATTTATAGTCTACAAATTATTTGTAATGATGTTCCGGCCCCCGACCATCCCGCTCAAGAAATTAAAAAAAATCGGCCCAAGGCTGAATCCAGTTGCTAATCCCTGGTCTATTAGTATAAGAAATGCAACAACAAAAAAATCCAGCAATCTATTCTAGTCTAGCTTTTCCTGGGACTCCACAAGCGCTAAGGAGAGAGGCCAGCGGAGAGCCAGTGTGTAATGCGCAAAAGTGAAGACAGACGCTAAATTAGAAGCTTAACATTTATATTTTAATCATTTAGCAGACGCTCTTACCCAGAGCAATTTACAGGAGCAATTAGGGTTAAGTGCCTTGCTCAAGGGCACATCAACAGATTGTTCACCTAGGGGATTCGAACCAGCAACCTTTTGGTTACTGGCTCAATGCTCTTAACCACTTGGCTACCTGCCGCCCATCATTCATAGTCTAATACTGCATTGAATGTATTACTTAAAAAAGGGGTAGTCTAGGACATATGCAATTACTATTTGTGCCTTGTAGAAATATTCAGACCCATCAGATTTTTCCACATTTTATTGTTACAAAATGGGATTAAAACAGATTTAAATTTACAAAATACTCTAATGTCAAAGTGGAAGAACAATTATATATACAGTGAGGGAAAAAAGTATTTGATCCCCTGCTGATTTTGTACGTTTTGCCCACTGACAAAGACATGATCAGTCTATACTTTTAATGGTAGGTTTATTTGAACAGTAAGAGACAGAATAACAACAAAAGAATCCAGAAAAACACATGTCAAAAATGTTATAAATTGATTTACATTTTAATGAGGGAAATAAGTATTTGACCCCTCTGCAAAACATGACTTAGTACTTGGTGGCAAAACCCTTGTTCGCAATCACAGAGGTCAGACGTTTCTTGTAGTTGGCCACCAGGTTTGCACACATCTCAGGAGGGATTTTGTCCCACTCCTCTTTGCAGATCTTCTCCAAGTCATTAAGGTTTCAAGGCTGACGTTTGGCAACTCGAACCTTCAGCTCCCTCCACAGATTTTTTATGGGATTAAGGTCTGGAGACTGGCTAGGCCATTCCAGGACCTTAATATGCTTCTTCTTGAGCCACTCCTTTGTTGCCTTGGCCGTGTGTTTTGGGTCATTGTCATGCTGGAATACCCATCCACGACCCATTTTCAATGCCCTGGCTGAGGGAAGGAGGTTCTCACCCAAGATTTGACGGTACATGGCCCCGTCCATCGTCCCTTTGATGCGGTGAAGTTGTCCTGTCCCCTTAGCAGAAAAACACCCCCAAAGCATAATGTTTCCACCTCCATGTTTGATGGTGGGGATAGTGTTCTTGGGGTCATAGGCAGCATTCCTCCTCCTCCAAACACGGCGAGTTGAGTTGATGCCAAAGAGCTCCATTTTGGTCTCATCTGACCATAACACTTTCACCCAGTTCTCCTCTGAATCATTCAGATGTTCATTGGCAAACCTAAGACGGCCCTGTATATGTGCTTTCTTTAGCGGGGGGACCTTGCGGGCGCTGCAGGATTTCAGTCCTTCACAGCGTAGTGTGTTACCAATTGTTTTCTTGGTGACTATGGTCCCAGTTGCCTTGAGATCATTGACAAGATCCTCCCGTGTAGTTCTGGGCTGATTCCTCACCATTCTCATGATCATTGCAACTCCACGAGGTGAGATCTTGCATGGAGCCCCAGGCTGAGGGAGATTGACAGTTATTTTGTGTTTCTTCCATTTGCGAATAATTGCGCCAACTGTTGTCACCTTCTCACCAAGCTGCTTGGCGATGGTCTTGTAGCCCATTCCAGCCTTGTGTAGGTATACAATCTTGTCCCTGACATCCTTGGAGAGCTCTTTGGTCTTGGCCATGGTGGAGAGTTTGGAATATGATTGATTGATTGCTTCTGTGGACAGTTGTCTTTTATACAGTTAACAAGCTAAGATTAGGAGCACTCCATTTGAGAGTGTGCTCCTAATCTCAGCTCGTTAGCTGTATAAAAGACACCTGGGAGCCAGAAATCTTTCTGATTGAGAGGGGGTCAAATACTTATTTCCCTCATTAAAATGCAAATCAATTTATAACATTTTTGACATGCGTTTTTCTGGATTTTTTTGTTGTTATTCTGTCTCTCACTGTTCAAATAAACCTACCATTAAAATTATAGACTGATCATTTCTTTGTCAGTGGGCAAACGTACAAAATCAGCAGGGGATCAAATACTTTTTTCCCTCACTGTATAACTAAAATAGTAAATGCATAAGTATTCAGTCCCTTTGTTTAGGCAAGCCTAAATTAATTCAGCAGTAAAATGTGGCTTAACAAATCACCTAAGTTACATGGACTCACTCCGTGTGAAATAATAGGGGTTGACATTATTTTTTTAAATGACTAACCCTTCCTCTGTCCCCCATACATACAACATATGTAAGGTCCCTCAGTCAAGTATTGAACTTCAAGTACAGATTCAACTACAAAGAGCAGGGAGTGTTTCGAAAGCCTCATAAAGAAGGGCAGACACATATGTAGCTGTATTCAAAAACAGACTGTCTAGAGCAAATCAAATGTTCATATAGAGTTTGGTAAAGGGCTGACAAATAGTCATACTTACCAAGGCATTCTTCCTGAAGCTGCCAGTGACAACTCGTCGATTGTGGAGCAGTATGCTGCCAATGTCTCACTTCATTCTGGGTTCGTATGAATCCAGAGACCAACGGAGCCTGTGCTTTCGATATTGGTTGCAAATAGCCATTTAAACGGCAAAACATCCGAGCCAAAGACATTGTCTGGTAATGGAAAATAAGTTCAGATGGAACACTGTTCATGGACAGATTCAGAACACAACTATACGAATTATTTGATTGAATCTGACATTGACTCCCGCACAATCATTTCCCCCCATCTTAATTGCTGTGAATAATAACAAATCAGCTGCTGTTGAGGTCTGTTGATCTGATAATGCAATACTCACATAACGGAGCTCGTGTGGATTCCAGTCAGTTGTGTTTATGTAGCTAGCAGCACTAGCTACTGTGACCTGGAATTCAGACTTCTTGGATCTTCGATTAAGCTACATTGACAATCGCAGAGATTATTAAGCAAGTTAGTTTTTTCCAAGTCATTTATATACTTTGCTGGCTAGCATTGCAGTATAGTAAACTTTGGCCACGTACCTTGCTAACGTTGACGCTGAGAACTGCTAGCTGGCAGCTACCGAAGATGTAGCTATCAGCAGACAGGAAGAGACGAAGCGAGAGGGTCCACACCAGTCAAAATCGGTCCACGTGGGAATATACAGCGATAAGCAGACGACCTGCCTTCCCGCCTTTGAGACAACGACTCCTATTTTTAGGGAGGAGACCATCTCGTCATTATATACAGTATCTCTGCTATCAGTCAAAACATTCCCTAGTCCTCTGGCTTTCTTCTGCCTCCCTCTGGTATACTACACTGGCATAATGGAGATTTGGTCCGCGTTCTGAAATGTTGAAACTAAAATGTATTTGAGGCAGGGCTGATATTACAAGGAAAATGAAAAACTATTCTTGAATATTTCAGAACTGCGCCTATAGGTTTTCACTAGTTACCACAGCCACAAAGTCAACATTGGAAATATTGTAAAAATGCATCAAAACACAAATTAGATTTTTGGTCTTAATTTAAGGTTAGGTTTAGGTATAAGGTTAGCAGTGTGTTTAAGGTTAGGTTTAAAATCACATTTTTAAAAGATAAATTGTAGAAATGGGCGGGGTTTAGGACTTTCTGGCTGTGATAACTATGGACCACCCCTCTAATTAGATTAGCGTTACCTGTCGAATACATTGCACATTTTCACTCTACTATAGGCCTAATGCTAAAGAAATGATCCCTGAAAGTAGTCTTAATTGAATAGAGGGCGAGTGAGGGTAGCCTATGTTGGAGCATTCATTCTCATTGACGGTTTCCAACGGTATGAAGCACCATAGAACACGAGGCCACAATCATGCTTATTGAGCCACTGTTCATCAATATGTAACATATGGAAACCGTTATTGTCCTATATCCTATTGTCTCACACAACAAACACTTTGGTATGCCCAAGAAAGATTCACAATATAAATGTTTAAGTGCCCCACAATAGCAATTGCAAATGAGGGAGGTGCCAGAGGTACTCAGTATTTTAGGGGACTGCAATTGTCTGAAAAAGCCAAACCTTATTCTTTCCCCATAGGAATGGCTGAACGAACTGTTTTTTAGGACTACTAAGCTGGCGAGCTGTATAGAGAGGATACAATATTGGGCTTGTTTTGAGTGGTAAGGCTGAAGCACCCGACTTCAGACGAATGTCGAAGAGTGAAGTCGGGGAAGGTGCATCTGCTACAGCCGAAGTCGGACACTGATGTGGTTTTCCAACTGTTGAGCGTGAATGCACCAGCAATATGAGTGAAATAGTTTTCCTTCCAAAAAACTTCCTTCCTTTTTATTAAGCATGTTAAATAGCAGCTTTTCTGTTTTGGAATGGTGGGGCATACTCCAACAACAGAATGGTGTGGACGTATGCCGGTCATTAAAAATATTATTTGATTGATACTCTATGAGGAAATAGCAAGCATTTTTTAAAGGTTTGTTTGAGGTAGGCCTACAAGTTTGAGGTTGGGCTTTTGAAGTGTTTTTTCTCCAATGTATGTATTGGCCACGAATAAGTATAGGACGAGTCAATAACATTATTTGGGTATGAGTTATTATTATTTGGGGATGACCCGCGGACACCCTGCTAATTGTGTGAGGGATAAAAGTTTACCTAATATTATAAATACCGTAGAGTAAAATCGAAGTGTTGTATGTAGTGACTGACCCTATGCGTCACAATTAGGAAGCTTGATTAAGTGCACCGCGGCATTAATCGAATCCCCTCAAGATCCACCCATCCTGTGTGCGCGGGCAGGGATCTCAGCGGACGACTCGCGGATCGCCCTGTGGTGTATTCATCACGCTAATTCTGTTGCAAAACGTTTTGTCTGTTGGTTTTACAACGGAAACCATTTACTCTAGGACCAAACGGGGAGGGATTTACCTACACCGTTTTGCAACATGGAAGCGGCATTTTGAAGACGTTCATATTTTTGCAAGTTAAAATGTATTGTTTCGTTGATACAGGATGGAAGTTTCACTAAAGCAACATGTTTTGAGATGTCTGAAAAGCCAAAACATTATAAATGGAGTGCAGGTACTAACTATTTGATGAGCGGAAGAAAATAAAGAATATAGCTATGGCTGTGAAACCATGTGCTTCTTTGTTTACAAAAACAGCGGCTGTTGGAGAGATTGTTGAGTGTGAATGGTTCTGTAGAGAACCTGCAATTTGGGCTTGTAAGACGTGAGCCACACAACCGGTGAGAAAGTCTGCGTTTTTAAGTCAAGTTAAAGGTTAGTAACGAATTGTTTTTATTTTGGTTTGGCGTGAGGCATGCACGCCTATTTAGTTTTTTATTTTTTTTTCATCGATGTTGCTTTGGTCATCAAACTATAAATTGTTTGAATGCTCAAGTCTTTTGGCAATTTGAGCTATTTGAGCTATGGAGCTTGTCCACAACTTGGTTGTATCAGGCGTGTAAACCTAAACGCGTCACTATCCAGCTTGCTAACGTTAGCTAGCTAGCTACACAACAAAGGGATTTCTGAGTAGGAGGGTAAATAGCTACCACTGAAGAAAGTGGCACAAATGTTAGCTACCTCTCATTAGCTGAATTTGTAAGGACGAAAATCTCAACGAGGTCAAAGTTGGTTTAGGTCTGAAAGTGCATCACCAGATTGATTTTCTATCTAGCAAGGATTACCTAACGTTAGCTATATTTCTTTGATTTGTCATAATGTGTCATGCACATTACCTAATTTTGGAAGTCGACTTTCACAATCAGTGTGTGGGCTACGAATTGACTACCCACTGAAACCTATTTCCTCAAAACCAGCTAGCTGGCTATTCTGAAATATATTGGCGCTCTAATAAGGTTGCATAGCGCGTACATTTACTACTACATGACTGTCTTGTAGATTTAGGAGGGGGGGGGAAAGGTCACGTGGGTGAAACGTTTGTTTACAATCAACCTCTAAACCCTCCCCCTTCCCACATTTTGTTGTTACAAAGTGGGATTAAAATCTATTTGATAGGCGATATGCACAGGCGATCATGACGTATTTCCGGTTAAATCTCAGGATGGATGTAAACTTCCGGTTATCGTAGAATGCTGTGCTACCGTATGCTAGCATTGAATGCTTGTCGTCAAAAACATCTGAAACGGTTAATTTTCGTCGTTGTTGTTGTTTCTTCATGTTTATGTTAATGTTTTACTTGTAATACTTCGTCTTGACTTATAACACGATGACGTGTAAACGTACGAAAGTGTCCTTTCAAAAACGGGATGACAGCTCTTCCAGCCATCACAGTGTCTGCCAGAGGCAATTCTTCTGTTAGTTTTTTTTACTTTTCCCAAAGACAGTGAATTACATAAATGGTGGGTGATTAACATTAGACGAGTCAACTTTCTTACAACAAAACAACACAGACAACAAAATCACACCATTCCATGCCTGTGATGAGTAACTGTCCCTGGACTTGCCAATAATAACAATGGCTTTCCTTCAATTTGTGTAGGCCATGGTCAAATCTCAGGAACTTGCAGTCTATGTAGCTGGCTACATTTGGGCATTTCATTTCAACTAGACCAAATGATGGTCGCTCAAGTGGGTCATATACCAGCCCATCAGGCGATGCACCCAGCCAAGGTGCGTCCGGATGCACGACTAGCCCACACTTTGTCAGATTAAGATTTTTTTGAACTGCATAGTCCTTCAATGCACCTGCTTCCAATCCAGCCCCCTTTTCATTAGTGGTGTTTGTCTTGTCCCTCTGATAATTCTTTCTGCCAGTTTTTCTGCTGTGCTTGTACCTCTAACATGGCTTACCTCCCTGAAATGTGAAGCAGTCACTCTCTCCTTCCTCAGTGAATGCCACTCGGGTGTTTCACTTTGGCATCTGGTTGCTTCCTCAATCAGGTGTGACTGTGACAAAGTCACAGACAGAGAACTGAGGTGAAGCTTTTCTTGATCCGTCATGATCTCGTATGAACAGTCTGTTGGTTGTAAATGGTAACCGTCCAGTGGCACTTTTGGGAACGGTGGTGCATCCTCATGGATGACAACACTGTCAGGTGGAGGTGGTGGGTGTTGATATGACAGGATACTGCCAGTTGGTACCTTGCCAAAAATGGAGTCCACGAGTGGTTTGTCAGATGTGATGTTCATTCTGCAGATAAGGGGAAGAGAGTCTGGTTCCATGTCAGCATAGGCAGGTAGTGGGTTGATGGGTCTGGTAGCTCACCGCTCACTGCTTTCCGTACTGGATGTCCGGACGACCCTCCGTATATCATTAACAGATACTTTAGGCAACTCCAGCAAACACCTTGTAAACTTCATCTCTGCCATCATAACGGTCTACTGTCACTGGCTAATGTTTTTTTTTTCCGGTAACCGGAAATGCCCAAGCATCCTTACGCCAATGCGGAAGTGATGCGTGCATAGAGCCTATTGTCATTTGTCAACGATCTACACAAAATACTCTAATGTCAAAATGTAAAAAAAATAAAAATAATCATGAAATATAAAACGCATATATCTTGACTAGATGGGTTTTCACACCTCTGAGTCAATACATGTTATAATCACCATTGGCAGTGATTACAGCTGTGAGTCTTTCTGGGTGTGTCTCTAAGAGCTTTGCACACCTGGATTGCGCAACATTGGCCCGTTTATTATTTTAAAAATTATTAAATTTTTGTTGATCATTGCTAAACAACCATTTTCAGGTCTTGCCATAGATTTTCAAGCAGATTTAAGTCAACATTGTAACTCGGCCACTCAGGAACATTCACTGTCTTCTTGGTAAGCGACTCCAGTGTAGATTTGGCTTTGTGTTTTATGTTATTGTCCTGCTGAAAGGTGAATTCATCTCCCAGTGTCTGGTGGAAAGCAGACTGAACCAGGTTTTCCTCTAGGAGTTTGCCTGTGCTTAGCTCAATACAGTGTATTTTTTATCCTGAAAAACTCCCCAGTCCTTAATGATTACAAGCATACCCATAACATGATGCAGCCACCAAATATGGAGAGTGGTACTCAGTAATGTGTTGTATTGGATTTGCCCCAAACATAACACTTTGTATTCAGGACAAAAAGTTAATTGCTTTGCCACATTCTTTGCAGTATTACTTTAGTGCCTTGTTGTA